GAGCTTTACAGCGACGTTTGTGGACTTTACTTTTCCAGTGGGATCGGAGGGCGTGATCAGTCTCAAAATATCTGGATGGAAGCAGACTCTGTCAATACATAGTCTAGTTTTGGTTAGCTTTCGTGAAGCCCACTTTGCGCATTCTACGCAGTAATGCTGTGCCAGACCTGGCTTTTCGTAGTCGAGGGGTTGCGCTTCGAGCTTTGCGCGGGTCTATCACGAGGTACATTCATGAATCCGCGAAGAGTTCTAAGTTGCCCAGAAGTGAGACGCACCTTCGGATCCAAATCAATCAGCTGAATCTGGTCCAGATCCCGCGTTCGCGCCTGCAAATCGGGATTTTCATGAATGTCCCGGCCCTCGTTTAGCGAGAGGTGTGCGTACCCTAGTCCGTGAAGCTCTATGAACGTCTCTTTGAGCATGGTGTGTGCGAGAACGACGCAGACGACCCATTGTAGCGCTGTGTGCAACTGCAGAGGAAGACAAGAGGTACTCCTGCAGCTACAGACTCACGCCGCATCGGTGCTGTACGAAAATGTTCTTCACATCACCCCTCCTCCCTTCACAGTACATTATCTAAGCAATCTCATGGCCCAATCAGAAGCATTGCCTTTTGGGCGTCTACATGACCTCATCGGGAATTTCGTCCAGCAAACAAGCGCCGGTAGACTAGCTGGTGCTTCGCAGGTGCGTCGTCTGCACCTCTGCTCTCTCCCGTCTGGTGTCTGAGTTCCTCCTTGTGTCTCTGGACTGCACTTGTCTGAGTGACAAGTATGACATCGTTCTTGGCACTTCGCGCAGGACGCTCAGCTTGTGGAGCGATACATCCTGCCGCACCTGCTGTCACGAGTACTATCACTGCCCAGACCCGCGGGTACGCTGCTCCTGCAAAGCCCGCGAAGAAGGTTGCGTGTGCGTACAAAAGGCGCCTGAAAATGGCTTTTGAGCTTAATTCTGACTGTCCGGGCGTGCAGCGAAGTTCCGACCCAATGCGAAGAACGACGGAAAGAAGAAGCAGGGACAGCGGGATGCTGGGGTGCGTCAACCTTGACTCTAAACCATGTGTGCAGATCTCACCTTCTTGTTGGCACTAGCTCTTTCGACCCATGTCAGTGAACACTCTGACACATTCTGTCTTCGAGAGCGATCAGCGGAGTGCGCTGCAGCTCCCCACTTTCCGTCCGGTCCGTTCGATTCATATGTCCATGCCATGCACACTCTTGTTGACCTCCTGCCGAAGGAGGCTCTTACGGCTGAAGCAGCCAGCACGGCTATGGCGTTTCCTCAAGGGGACTCGAAGGCGCTTAAGGCATACGGGCTGCCCACCAACGTGCTCGTCGACGTCAGTATGCACAGTACGTGCTGCCAGAAGAGCGCGCTAATAAGGCATGCCACAGTGCTTGCTGCTTTCAAGACCATGTTCGGTAGTTCGAGAAGTTACTGTGCAGGCTCTCGATCAACTCGACAAGGCTGCCGGATCGTCTAGTGCGCAGACGCGAGCCGTGTTCAGTAAGTCCAACCCGGATTGCGCCTCAGTATCACACCATTGATGGCCGACGGCGTGTCAGCCGGCAAGCCTGGCTGCGGCAAGAGCTATGTCCTACTCCAGGCAGTGCAATACGCTATTCAGAAAGACTGGGTCACCTTGTACATTCCTCGAGGTCAGTGACTCGTCCGCACCGCTTCGCCTTCACTTGCCTGGATCCTGAAACTTCGCGCGCGGCTACCTGCAGGGATCGCCCTTGTTAATTCGTCGACACCCTATGTTTACGACCCGCGGACTCAGACGTACGGCCAGCCGGCTTTCGCGCAGCAGCTGCTTAAACGCTTCGTCGACGTCAACGAGAGATTGATAAAGGACTTGAAGGTTCAGGGTTCATACCCCTTAAAGGAGACCGCAATCAACAGCTCGTCGCCCCTTCTCGACATGATAAACATCGGCATCGAGTCTCAGGAGTCGGCACCAACAGTGCTCAGCGCGCTTCTCACGGAGCTGTCTAAGCAGACGAAGTATGTCCGCTGACGCACACTTCTGTGGTAACGACTCAAGACTTGGCCTTGTCTAGATTCCCAGTGCTACTCGCCATCGATGATTTTCAGGCGCTTTACAGCCTGTCGACGTACCGCGACCCATATTTCAAGATGGTCAAGGCATATCATCTCACCCTTCCACGGACTCTCCTCGAGTTCGCGAGCGGGAAGCAGTCCTTCGTATGTCCCTACCCATCCTTTCTTACGCTTGTACATCCTAACATCTCACAGGCGCGCGGTGCCGTCCTCGGAGCGCTCTCCTCACAAAACACGACCTTCCGTCCCCCTCTTGAGCTGACAGAGGCGCTCGGGCTTCTACCAGACGTCCCGTCAAACCCGTACGTTCGCCGCGAGCCCGAGCTCATTGAGTACGCAAAAGGGCTACGCAACTTCCCGGTGCCGGACCAGCTCACCATCGACGAGGCCGCGTCGATCTTCGATATATGGCACAGCGTGAAGGCGTTGCACGTGGGTGGGTAGCCGTCTGTCAGAGTGATGCTTAGATGAATGCTGATAGTATTGTGCAGCGCGCGGGGACGAGGTGTTTTTGACGAAGTATACGGAGGCGGGCGGGAACGCGCGGGAATTTGTGCGCAAGAGCTTGTTGCAGACCGTTGCGATGTAGCATCGTGTCTGAGCTTACTCTGTATGGCCTTAGGTATTCCGTACGTTCGTACTAACATAATGGCTATCGATTTCCTGCTCCCCAAGGTGACTCCCTGCAGCGCCATGGACTTCCTCATAGAGGTGGTACCACGATAGGCGGCGACCATGCAACTCCTACCACCAAACAGCATATATATGGCATTCGGCAGCTGGCAGGCCAGCCAGTCACTCACTTATAATGTGATACATCAAGACCCGCGATGAAATGAAGGCTGTTCATCGCCTCGACGCGCCCTGCTGTCCGAGGGTTCGATGTTCAACACGTGCTGTTGGCCGGTCCGACGAGGTTCCTAGGTAGTATCTGTTTCTCAGCGGCGGTATTTGGAACCATCTTGAACCCTGGTGAGACTCTACATTGCAATACTCACATTGCGTTTGAAGCACCATCTGTGTCAAGCGATGGTAAGGGGCCCTGCGTAGTATCTGTTCTCAGCGGCGGCACCCGAAAACCTTCTTGAACCTTGGTGAGACTCTATCTTGTAGTGCTCACCTTGTGACGTCTTAGCGATAAGTACATTGGCCCACCGTGCCACCCTTCTTAGCGGCGGATTCTGTGGTGCATCTGGAACACAGGTGAGACCCTGACTTGCCGTACGCATCTCACCATCCTGTGCATAGTTCTTATACACGTTCTCGTTCGCAGACCTGCAATATCCCTTCTCAGCGGCGGGGCTTGAAACCATATTGGACCCTGGTGAGACTCTGTCTTACAGTACTCACCAAGCTGGGGTTCATCAGGGACACCTAGAACGTCGCGAATGGTACCCTGTGCAGCGTCTGTTCTCAGCGGCGGAACCCAAAACCTTCTTGAACCCTGGTGAGACTCTATCTTGTAGTACTCACCCTCGAGTGCCCCTCCAAGGCCCATGACGCTGTCACATCAAGTGCGATCAGCAAGATCTACGGAGGCGAAGAGCGGATAACATGGAAGGTCGTGAGTTGTGATCGTCCTTGGACGAGGTGCCGAAGTGGAGCGATGATATAGAGGAAGCCGGCCAGAGGACCGAGCTTGAAAGAGGTATGTGAGCGTGCATGAGGGTGGGATGGTGGTGGTTTGGGAGAAACAGAGGCTCGTATTCTGCACAAACTCTTATAGCCTCTTGTCAGGATGGCTGGCAGACCAACCTCGGGGCTCAGATCGGTGCGGCATGTTGAGTTGCCTCGGCAGAGGCTAACTCGCCGGTGATGTGAAGAGGCATGCTGGCTAACACGATCGTGCTTGATGGATCTAGGCTCGCAATTGCCTCGTTCGCCGAGGAACAGGTCGCCGATTGAGAGGCTGATCTACAGTATTCACCTTCACAGACACCGAGCAGGAGCCGAATAGCAAGAGGAACACTGGTGCTTAAGCTCTGCTGTGTTTGCCAACCACACCGAAATCCATGTCATCGTCCAATTTCGTCTCGCGGAGGCCCACACTATGTCAATTGACTGCTTGGCCACGCAGGAACGCCTACAGGAAGCTATCTAGGGATGAATTTTGACTGAGCCGTACCCATGGGGCGTTGTACGAGTTTCAGAGGGGCAGCCCTGATCATTCTAGTCAGACGTGCTCGACTGAGCGGGTGTCAACCAGATAGACAATGATACAAGGACCGCACGTACACTGGCCAGGACTCGTCTTTCCCGAACATGATCGTCTTAGACACGGTATCACGGACCGCGGAGCCAGTGATGTAGCACGCAAACGAAGGACGCGCAAAAACGATGCGTATAATTTCAAACTGGGAGATCATTCTTCTGAGGTTATGGAAGCGGCGAATTCCAATATACTACACCAACTACTACTATGTATGAATATAGTCCTGCTCACCAGTTTTTGAGAGCGATGTCGAGATCACCGCGTTCGGCGTTCGGCGGGACGCTGTGGTGAATGGAGGCGTCAACGTTCGCGGGATGAAGTAATGTCCGTTACAATTGATCTGTGATTTATGCGGCACGTACACACTGCTCTGGAAGAGTGGAGGGTTCCTGTAACCTTTGTGCCACTATAAGAGGACCCAGGTGAACGGCATTTTCCGAACCAACTTCCACGGAGGGAACGGACCGTCTAGCCGAGTTGTCCGATGGCATCCGGTACCTCCTCCTCTCACGCTGCTTCTCAGTTTGTATCCCTCGCGATTTGTTTCATTCTCGGCGAGAGGGACACACCGCAGGTCGTCAGTAGACGTCAGTGCAAGTCTTTCAGCATGCGCTCAGACGACCGGATGTTGCGTCGGCTCTCCTATGAGCTTGGGTCCCCGAACTTCTCCACGGACCTCGTCATGGTACAGACTAGCGGCAGCGGTTATATAACCGGTCGATCTTCGACATTCAATGAAGAATCCACTATATGCTACCCTGGGGACTTGAAGGAGAAGCCCGGTAGACCTCGCGACGACGCTGAGCTCGGTGTTGTCGGTTATTCCGAACGCGCACCCAGCAAACGGCCAGGTGAAGCTCGGACGTACTTCTCGCTGGCGCTGTTGTCTGCTCTCGGATTGTCCCTCTTCTATCTGTTTGCAAGAAGTCCACATCTCAGTGCTTGTGGTTCCACGCTTCGATTGGCCCAGGACGATATTAGTGAGGCATGTCCTCAGACAAACGCGATTGTTCCCCAGAAGCATAGCGCCCTATTGGAAGTCCTTGAAACCACATATCAAACGGAGGAGTTTAGGCTAAAGGCGTACGAAAGCTTGGGAGGAGCGGTCAGAGTCCCGTAGGTGTGCCTTCATAATATATTCCTTCCATCCGCTTCACACATCTAACTAGGACGGTCGCCTACGATGATCTTGCACCTCCGGGCTCAGATGAGCGTTGGGAAATTTTTGGGGAGCTCCACGCATACCTTGAGAAGCGCTTCCCATTGGTGTATGCACCTTGCTATCTGAGATACTGTATTTGTGCTCAATATGCTACGCAGTCACGCAAACTTGCGGAAGACGCATGTGAACGAGTATGCATTAGTGTACCACTGGCAAGGAACCAATGGTTCTCTGAAGCCCGCGCTCTTGACGGCACATCAAGGTTAGAGTCCACGATCTCATTAACGACAAACCCCTTGCCTGGTCTACTCACTTTCTGTCAATGATAGATGTCGTCCCAGTGGAGCCGTCCACTGTGGATCAGTGGAACCATCCGCCTTTCTCTGGCTTCTTCGATGGTGGGGTCATAGTCCTATCATATTAGGCGAGAGTAGTGCATTCCGAGCTAATGCACATCAGGGGAATTCATATGGGGTCGTGGCAGCTGCGACGACAAACCGGGTCTCATTGGCTCCCTGTATGTTGTATATGTCATTATATGCCACTTCCACTGACGAAGTGCACAGCACCGTCGTCGAGGAGTTGCTGCACGTAGGGTTCAAGCCTGCTCGCACATTTGTCCTAGCATATGGCATTGACGAAGAGCGCGGCGGCATCTCGGTATGTTTAAATTCTCCATCTCACAAGACCTCTTTGTCGACGCAGTTCCAAACTAGGGAGCTACTACCATCCGAGACTACTTGTTAGCGAATTACGGAGAATATGCTTTCTCCATCCTCATAGACGAAGGAGGTACGCACAAGCACCGCCGGTGTCGCGGATCTGTTCATGGAGAATATGTGTACTACTTCTACAGGTGGATACCAGGTCGAAGACAACGTAATAATGTCCAGTCCCGGAGTGGCAGAGAAGGGCAAATTCGATGCTCGTTTCGAGATATCGGCTCCAGGTGGACATTCTAGTGTTCCTCCGGAGCATACCGTACGTCACATTCATACCCTGCGACTTGCCCTTCTAACGCCAAACTCATTTGTCTTAGAGCATTGGCATGCTTGCTGCGATCATCAAGCACCTCGAAGTCAATCCGCACTCCCCACAACTCAACCGTGAGGGGGTATACTACTCTTTGCTCCAGTGTCGAGCTGCGCACGATACCTCGCTCTCTCCTCAGCTCCGCTCGCTCATCTCACGCTCCCGCACTTCTGACAAGACGCTGCATGCGCTCGAGCAGCACCTAGCCGAGACCGACCGACTCTTCCCCGCATTTGCGGGTACAACACAGGCAGCGGACGTGATCCGCGGTGGCGTGAAAACGAATGCCCTCCCCGAACGCGCTGATGTGATCGTCAACCACCGGATCGACATTCACAGCTCAGTCGGCGCCCTCCAGAAGCGCATTATAACCGTTGTGAAGCCTATCGTCGCCCGGCTTAGACTGGAGCTCGATGCGTTCGGCAATGCGAGTTTCGCAATGAAGCCGGAGGGCGGCGAGAGTAGCGGGGTATTGCGCATCACCGACGCGTTTGGGACCGCACTCGAGCCCGCCCCGGTTACGCCGATGGGAGACGGTGGGCCGTTCCAGCTCTTGTCGGGGACGATCATCGGCGTCCTCGGCGCTTCGAACCGGACGGGGTATGACAAAAAGGTCTTCATCGCCCCAGGAATGTCGACTGGGAACACAGGTCAGCGTCCCGCGTCGTCCATCAGGTAGTTATGAGACCACGCTGACAAGGAGCCGTTGCGTGCATTGCGACGTCCGATTCCGACAGACACGAAACATTACTGGAAGCTGACGAAACACATTTTCCGATACGGACATACGAATGCTGCTGACACGTACAACGGAGCCCACACGGTCAACGAAGGTGCGTGCGGTTTTGTCGGCGAAAGCCGCGCCACCGTATGAGCTGTAACACAAAATGACTAACATGATGCGTCTTGCTCATTTCAGCGTTTCGTGGCGAAGGCTTCATCGAGACCATCCGGTTTTTTACGTGGGTCATCCTGAACGTCGACGAGTCTTCTTTGCTGGATTGAAGTAAGTAGAGGAGGCATCATGAGGCGTTACTGGATGGAATCCGCTTCTTTCCGGATACTACGCTAGTAGGACATGACGCAATGCCTAGTCGCGTGGGGATCAGGAGTCCCATGTCGTTTGTATCAACACTGAGCGTCGTCGTAGGACCCCCATCCTAATAGCTTCTGCGATAACTTCACCCGACCGATCGTCTTCGTTGCCCAGTGCCTATTCGAAAGAGCCATCTTTCCGCAGGGGCAGCAGCTGACCATGCTATTTGTCAGGAGCGCGACCCGCTCAGGTCAGAGGCATGTCTAAGCGTTCAACGCAAACTCAGTATTTGAACGTTGGACAGCGGCTGGCAAACTCTCCTTGACCACCGGCTATGAGCCTGCAGACTCCAAGCACACGATCAGGCCAACCCCGGAAGTAGGTGCGGCGTTCAAAGGGTAGTACTGCGTCGTGCATGGGGACACTCACACGGCGTTGCTCCTAGCAGGCAGTTTGGTTGAAGTGACCAAGTGCGATCATTGTGTTACTCCTCCCTCATAGGTGTAGCCGAGCAGCACAGGTGTACCGTGCTCGCCAGCATTTGCTGCCATATGTGACGCCTGGCAGGAGATCAAGCCGGAGCGAGTCGCATATCTGTGCATAGGTTATGGCACTGGCATGCCCGGAGCTCTCTGTGTCCACCTCAGTTCTGCGAAGACGGCATCTATGTTCTCGTTTGTTGCAGTGCTACCGTCGTCATTGACCGTACAAGCTGTGTCGTCTGTCCACGATGGACCACTTCCGGGTCAGGAGTAAACCACACTTACCAGATCCGGTGAAGAACCATGGCTGTATAGTTGTGTACACAGGGGTACCCTCAGTCTCCCGACAATTGTCCTGAAAGTTATTTTACGATGCTCGAGCCCTGCTAGAACGCTTAATATACAGCCTATGCGATCGGGGAAAACATCATGAGCTCCGAAGAAAGTTTTGATTTCGGAGTTGTTGAATTGGGAATCCGCTCGGCCGGGACGCCGGGCCAGGGACGGCAGAGCCGAAGAGGGATAGTGTGCTCGAGTGCATAACGCAGCGTGCTCAGCCCTCTCCTCAACGACCGCCACGACGTCGAAGCCCCCTCCCTGGTACCGCCTCCGTGGGCTGCGCGTGCACACCTTCCTTTCCTCTAGTTCTCATCAGCCCACCTCGCGATGCAACCCTCCCAGCTCGAGATTCAGCGCGAGGTCGAAGCTCTCCGTGACATCAGACGACGGTCCACTGCTCAAGGTGGTCCCGGCTCTCTCATCCTTGACCCCGATCTCCCCAGTGAGGCCTCCCAGGCTCAGGCCGCGTACTGGTCGCCCACAGACGACTCGAGCAGCAGCTCGCATGACAGCCATCTCGATGATAGCTCCGTCGAGGCGCATGACGATCCCTTCCATCTCTTCTGGGTTCCCGCTGGAGTTCATCCAGAACTCGCACCAAAGGAGTTTCGGGAATTTCTGAAGGAACATGCGCGATCCGACGGCACTTCTACGCCTGGCCCGGGACGCTCAAATTCAGTCGGGTCCACTAGCTCAGGGCTTGGGCGGAAGAGGTCGATGCTCAGTAGGCAGTACAAGCCTTCTGCCAATGACGGTGTAGGCGAACAGGAGGAAAAGGTCGTGCCCCTTCGGCGGAATCGGTCGAGCTATGTCAACGTTGTGCCGCAGTTGACTATCAGCGACCTCCAGAAGCTGGAGGAATTGGCGGAGGAGGCGTCCCAAAGCGATGATCCCACGAAGCTGCGAAGCGTGTTGAGGAGGAGCCTGAGCTTAAACATCGCCCCGTCCGGTATGTATACCGCACTTCATACTCGTGCTCTCGAGCCGTACCAATCATGTCGCTCTAGTGATCGACCAAATGGACGATCTCAGGGATCCTGGAGATGATGTCGATGCTCCCATAATCGTCCCCCCGCCTGGCCAGGTCCTGCGTCGGACTGCACGCACGAAAATTCGCAAAGCAGGGACGGGCGAAGGAGCACATCGCTTCACAGCCACACGACGGCGAAAATCTGTTGGACGTGCCGCTACCATGGAACCGCGCTCCTCTAGCGACTTATCGTCCAGTGACCATGGCGAGACTGAGACCATTCGTCGGGTACCTCGATCGACAGAAGATGTTCCGGAGGTCCCACCCCTCCCGCGACCAGAGTCGTACAGCGTGGAGTCCGCCATCTACGATGCCTATGCCCAGGAGGAGGCCGAGCATGTTATCGAGCCTCCCGTGATATCGAGGAGCCCGGATATTGTCACCAAGCTTGTGCCTGACTCACGTCCCTCTGTCGAAGAGCCTGAGCTGAAGCCAGAATTATCATCAAGCATCGTCGAACCCTTCATCCATCAGCCTCAACCCCAGCGAGCACTTGCGCCACCCTCTCCCGCGGATTCTCCTATCCCTCCGAGAACGCCCTCACCTTCTACGCCTGACCTGACGACCTCGCCGTCCACTTCCGACAGCACTCATCACGCAAGACCTCCTCTTCCTCATACCGTTAGCACACATCATCCGCCTTCACCGACGCCGTCTGAGAATCGACGCGAGAAGGACAAGAAAGGCCTGTTCGGAAAGTGGGGCAGCGACAAGAGCAGCAAGAAGCACAAGGAGAAGGCCGAGCGCGAGAAAGAGAAAGAGACAGGCTTCTTCGGTTCGCTTTTCGGCTCGAAAAAGAAGGCCGAGGAGTCGCAGCCCGTGAGCTCAGGCGCCGCCGGGCGTGAAACGGCAGTAGCACTTTTGGGGGCATCCAAGTCCTCGAAGAACTATGTTCCGCCTCCCTCACCTCAGCTTGGGTCGTACGCCCGATACCCCATCCACGTCGAGCGCGCCATATACCGCCTCAGTCACATCAAGCTTGCCAACCCACGGCGGCCTCTATACGAGCAGGTTCTCATCAGTAACCTGATGTTCTGGTATCTTGGTGTCATCAACAAGACCGGTCAGAACCAGGGACAGGGCCAGGGTCAGAACGCCAATGCACAGGGAGTGGCAGTCGTCCCCTCACCTGACAAGGAACGGGAGGAGCGGGAAGAGAGGGAACGGGCTGAGAAGGAGCGCGAGAAGCAGGAGCGGAAAGATGGCCAGCGGAAGGGCAGTCTCACCAAACCTGCACCGAACGGCTCCAGAAGAGCAGAAACGCCAGTGAGGGGCCCGCAATACGAGATGCAGCATCGTGCCATGGAACAAAGCTACGTCGCGTACGGCTCGTCATCCAACGGTAGCCCACCCCCAGTGCGGACATCATCGGCCCCCCCGCCACCGATGAATCTGCCTCATCGCTCCTCTCCTCAACAGTCGCAGTATTCCGTACAGCTTGTGCAGCCGCAACCCCGGCAGCCGACCCTGCCGGGTAGCTCGACGACCCAGTACTTCGAGATCGGCGAGTCATCGCCGGTCACTCCGCAACAATACCCGTTCGTCGTGACCGGTACGCCACACTTACCCCCAGGAGCTATGCCACCCGTCGCTGTCGAACAGACGTGGATTTCGCAGGGACAGAGCAGCATAGCGATGAGTCATGGAGGCTCGTCGCCCCCTCCAAGACAAGCGTCGCCGCCCACGTCTCCGTCGTCTCCAGGGCGTAGACCACGATCGCCCCCGCAGACAAACCGTTACGCACCTCAGCAGGAGAAGCAGGGGTACGGCCAGCCAGTCGGGTACAGGTCACCAGGACGGTCATTGTCTGCGACGGCTGCACCTTCCCCGGCGATGGCTCCGGTGAATGGGAAGGTGAAGAAGGTGATGAGTGCGCATGCAGTCCCTCCGAGGCAAGCGAGTGAGGACGAGGATATCCCGCTCGCGATGTGGCAACAGCAGCAACGGAGAAAGGACTATTGAATGCCTCCTTGCGTTGCCGCTACGAACTGCTCTCAAACGCACTGCGTACGTTTGTTGCTGTTTCTCGTGTTAACTTCGGTACTCATCTCCCCTGCCTCTCCCATTTCAGGTTATCTCCACCGTCGCAGCCGTCGCCGCTTTCTCTCGGACGCGTACCCATGGTCCCCGCATGTACTCTTCTCCCGTGTTGTGTTCGATCGCTTCGTTCTTTCCACATCTAGACTTCTCTCCGTGGGTAACAATGAGGCTCTCTTACGTACCCTCATCCGTACTTATCGAGTACCATACCTGGCTTACGCATCTCTGTTTTCCACCCAGCATCTACCACAATCGCGCTTCCGCATGCATAGTTCTGTGCCTTGTTTTCTTCGGACATCAGTATTCTCTCACATGTCACTTCGCTATTCCCACAATTGATGACTCTTGCACCTCCTCGTCGCCTCAGCCGCCACGCTCATCACTCGCACGCTCACCTACGCCATCCGAACCCTCAAGTCTTCTTCGTCACGATCACCCCTTCACGAGCTTCATGAGAACTATGCTTCCGTCTTCACTACCACTACCATCTTGACCGGTTGTATTTTACTTGTCTCCTTCGAGGACTGTTGGGATGCTGCTACATGTCCATTGACCATCGTACATTACAATATGCTGCCCTATGCAACCACATAGTGACTTTCTCCTGTTCTCCCATCCTCGGTCCCAAGCGGCGCCAGGTGGGGGGGGGGCGGACCTCCCCTGCTATTCGGACTCTTCATATTTAGTCTGATCACATACAACTCCTAGTCCAGTCAGAACTGTATCGGCAGAAAAAATAAAGCGATGGGCCCGTCGAAGTGCGGCGTAGCATTTGTATGTTAGGATCATCATCTCATACATCCCGTTCTCCTCTAAATATGTACGAAGTGGCGGGGCCTTTCAGGGTTATTTGAGCGGTTTGTACCATGGGTACATAGTAGCTGGGTTAACAATGCGGTATAAAAATGGAATACCCACAATTCTATTCCACGGCGTTGCGTGCCTATTGCAGGGACCGTTGTTCTCACCATCGATCGTCATCGATAGCTCAAGGGCGACAATGTTCGTCGAAGGCTTGGCCCCAAAGGAAAGCCCTTGTGAGACCGGCAGGCGCCGTGAGTTGGACGATGGCCAAGCTTAAAGCTTGAAGCGACGGAGCACACTCCGAGCGCGCGAAGCTGGCAACGATGTAGGACGTCGCGAGCTCCCGACTCAGCTCGACTCTGAGCAGCTGTACAACATCTTTCGAGGCTGTCTGGGGTTAACAAGGAGGTCTAGACAAGAGACCGGACTTAAGTGGATATGACACCGCGAGCGCAGATGCAAACAAGCCCCCGAAGCGGCCGGTGTTCAAAATAGAGAGCTCATGCATCGTGGACAACAATTGATGAAGCTTCAATGGGTCCGAGGGCAGAGAGGACCGCGGACAGGAAGCCAGATACCGGGGTTTTCTTAATCTGCAGAGCGGGTTTCCCAGGACCCATGGACAAAGTGGTGCGGCCTACGACAGGGAATTTGACCGGCTACCAATGCGGATCCAGAGCTGCAGCCTCAGTTGACGGATGGGCAGGACTGAGAACGCGATAAAGTCACAGTACTGACACCTACGTACGGACGGGCAAGCTCGCGGTCGTGCTACGACCGACTCCATCCGGATAATCAAGGCAGATAACAGACGGCGTCTTGAGGTTAATTCGTTCCCAGAGCCACAACAGATGAGTACCGGCTTTCCAGTCAAAGGCCGCTCTGGTGGAAACCAAGATGGTAATGTGTGAGTAAAGTGCAGGGCCGATCGTGAATGGGAAGGGAGTATTGCACGCTCAGGCAGAACTGCAACCAGGAGCAGGCCACAGCCGACCGCCCATATGTATATAAGGCCACGTGAACCACATGGATCGCTCACCACTGCCATCGACCCCTTCACACAACACCACCACCGTCGTCCCGCCTCTATCCCCGTCTACTGCATATATTGTTAACCATGGCTTCCAAGGCAGCTTACAAGCGGGTGCGTTGGACCTCTCTGGCAGACTTGCTTGCCTGGATAGTCGCTGATGGCCCCCTCAGCTCAGTAAGGAGTATGTCGCTATGCAGAAGGAGCCTCCTCCGTTCGTCTGGGCTGCGCCTGATGAGAAGAACATCTTAACCTGTGAGTACTACTCCGAGTACACTCCTTTACGTACGCTGAGACCGGCCGCCGCAGGGAATTACATCATTGTACGTCCGCGAGTTTCTTGTGAAACACTGTATCGTGCTGAACTACTGTAGCGAGGACCTCCGGACTCCCCTTTTGCTGGTGGCGAGTATCATGGCGTCTTGCTGTTTCCATCGGAATACCCATTTAAGCCTCCAGGGATCAAGGTGCGCCCTCATTGCGATCCACGTTCCTGCACGTTTCCAATCTACCGCCTAGATGATAACGCCCTCGGGCCGCTTCCAACCAGACAAGAAGATCTGTTTCTCAATGTCTGATTTCCATCCTGGCTCGGTGAGACCCATCACACCATGTCCCGTTCCTTCCATTTGAGTCTGCTCACATCCTCTTCCGGTCCATAGTGGAATCCCGCATGGAGCGTAGCGACAATGTCAGTTCCGCCTCCGTGTGCCGCCCGCATAGTTTCTTTTCACACGCTGACTCATGCTTCGGCGTTTTCGATCGAACAGATTGACGGGCTTGTTGTCGTTCATGCTCTCAGATGAGATGACCACAGGCTCTGTGACGTCCACCGACGCCGAGAAGCGCGCTTACGCCGCACGCAGTCACTCCTGGAATCTGCAACAGAAGCGGTTCAAAGAAGCATTCCCAGAAGTAAGCTTCCTGACCCTCATCCGTTCATCTGTTTCTCCCTGTTTCTACCGTATCGCGACGCCAAAGGACCTGATCTCGATGAGATCAAGGTTGATAGCGTCGATGCGGATGCGAACAGGCCTCCACTCGTCGTACGACCATGTCCTACGACGATGGAGTTGCTTCTGCAATGGGCTATGGTCTCACTTGCTTGATGATGCTCACGCCTTTCGTATCGTGTCACGCCGACCGCTAACATCTGTTTCCCCTGTAGTACTGCACACCAGCCGTACGCGATCTTCCCAACATGGCACAGAAGGAACGCGGTGTATCCCCAGCACCAGCGACCACCTCCTCCCCTTCTCCCGCACCCCCCGCCCAAACGCCATCGCAAGCACCACCAGCGCAGCCGGCTGCCGCCGCAACGAGCGAGAAGGCGGTGAGTCGATCACCAAATGGGATTAACTCCCCAGGTGACCACGCTGCGCAAGGATGGGCAGCTGGACTAAGACAAGTGATCTGGGAAAAGTGGCGGTGGGGCGTGATACTCGCGCTCGCTCTCGTAGTCTCTCGCATGTCTTCCAGCAACTGACGACGGCAGCCCCCACGCCCCGTCATCGTGTTCGGGATGGATCGCGTGATCCTGATCGTCGACGTTCAACTTTGCGGCGAGATGAGGGTCGTGTGGCGTCATTGCTGGCCGTTGACTCGCGGCGGGTGGCGTCGAACGGCGGTGCAAGCAATGTGTCCTTTCTTTACCCCCTCTTCCCCTCTACCGCCCTTCCATTCATTCCATCTATGTCGAATAGCATCGTATCATATCAATGGACCGCGCATGACTTGTTGGAATACCTTTTCCCTGGAATCTCTGAATACGTACCCTCCTTGGTTTCCTCCCTTATCCTGGTTACGCTTCTGGTCCTCGAGCCCCTCCACTCGTTCCCTCTATTTCACAGTAATAACAAATGTGTACGCTAGACTGTCCGGAATGCACGTTCGGATTACCTATCAGCTTGTCAACTGTGCTCTCATGTTGCACAGAGAGACGCCGTGGCTTCTGTCGGCCGTCATTCAGTAGAAGCTCGGGCTGCGGCCCCAACAGCATGCATCCGACATGTTGGATGAAAGTGTGTTGTGCGTTGTAAGAACCCAGAGGGCGTTATGCTGCATCAAGATTACGAAAGGATAGATGAGTCCCAACCAAGCACAGCAAACGACAGCATCGCACAACCGGTCAGAAGAATCACGCAGCCCCCGGTAAATCAACTGGAGAACGGGCCTGGGATCAGGGCAGCCGGCTGAATCGCATTTGGTGCGAGACGGCGACGAGCGGCCACATCGAGCCCGCAGCGGTCCTGTGCGAAACCAGCCCGCGGTCAGTCAAAGAGAACAAGTCCATCTCTGCAGTCGCAGCAGCGATCGCAGAGCGGGAGGGCACACACTCACGGATCCGCGTCTCGATCGACATCATCCCCGTCTTCCGCGCCACCGCCGCCGCCGCCGCCGCCGCCGTCCAGTGCGTCGCGCCGCCTGAGCACGAAGCGCTGCTCGCACGACCACCGCGACGGCTCCTGCGCGCGCGCGCTTCCCTTTCCCTTGCCCTCCTCGTTCGCCCCATCCCCCGCATCCGCCCCCGCCCCCGCATCCGCATCCGCGTCCTCGCTCCCGTCCCCGCGCGCGCCAGCGAAGAAAACCTGCACGGCATAGCACACGAGCAGCACGTCCCCGGCGGGCGAGCCGGGCACGCACGCGACGTCCCACACGAGCTCGTGCGCGCTGCTCGCGCGCGGCCAGCAGCACAGCGTGAAGTCGCGCGGGAGCGCGAGCAGCGCGCCGAGGACCGCCGCGCGCCCGCGCGACGGGCGCGGGGGCGGCGCGGGGCCGACGCTGTTCCCTGCGTGCGTGGGGGCCTGCGGCTGGAAGGAGAAGAGCGCGCAGGGCGCGTAGGCGCGCGCGAGCGCGGCGCGGTCGGCCGTGAAGAGGCGGACGTACCTGTGGAGTGAAGCGGACTGGACGCGTCAGCGGGCGGACGCGGACGGGTGAGAGGGGGGGGGAGGGGCGGACCGTTCGATGAAGACGAGCGCGGCGTCCTCGGCGGCGTACTGGGCGGCGTTTGTGGGGAGCACACGAGCGGGCGGGGGCAGGCCGGACAGCGCGGGTATGGGCGCGAGCTCGGCATCCGCGTCGACGTCGGGCGGACGCGAGGGGGGGAGCGGGGACGGGCCGGCGACAGCAGCAGACGGGGACGTCGTGCTCGCCGCGCTCTGCCCCTCCTGCGCGAGACGTCGCGCGCCTGGCTGCGACTCGGCCGCCGCCGTCGGACGTGCGGGTGGGGGTAACCCACGGGAGGGTGCCGCAGGGAGCGCGTACTCGGCGAGGGGGCGGTGGATGTCCGGGTGCGACCCTGGGGCCTCTCCACCGGGATGCGGCTGCCCGACCACGCCCTCGCCAGCGCGCGGGTCCAGAGACGGGGGCTTGTTCTGCGGCTGCAGCTCGTCGCGCGCACCGGGCGCAGGCTGCGCGGCCGCGGACGCTTGCGAGGGACCGCCGTTCGCGCCCGTACCTGTGGGCAGGTGAGGCGTCGGGGCGGGCGGAGAGGCCAGTGCCTTCCGCTTCCTCTTCGGCTTGTTCGCAGGCTGCTCGACGATGATGAATCGCGCATGCGCCGTCTGCTGGGCGGGCCCGTCGCTGGCGTTTGGGCCACCGGTCGCGACCGATGTCGACGCGCCGGGTTCGCTCGCCGGGAAAAGCGGAGGCGGAGGCGGGCGCAGCGTGTCCGCACACACAGGCGCAGGGCTCTTCCTGTCCCCATCACCGCAACGGACCGCAGAAGGAACACGAACCGAAAAGAGAAAACGAAGACGCAAGCGGCGATCAGCTCTCCCCTCGGACACGACAAAGAGGAGCAGAGAAGAGACGGGCGCGCGGGCAGCTACGTACCAGTCGACGACCATCCCGTCCTCGCGCGTGAACACGCGTATAGGTTGCAGGCCGAGCGCGCGCAGCCGGCTCACCTCCGCGACGGCGAGGCGCTGGCGGGCAGCCTGGAAGTCCGGCCGCCCGGCGCGGCATTCGGGGGGGAGGGGCGCGATGCGGACGCAGCCCTCGGAGACGAGGTGCGGTGCGGGGGGTGCGGTGAGCGGGGGCGTGGGGCTGCGTTCGGGCTTGATGGGCATCTGTGCTGGGCCTGAGCTTGAGCCTGGGTCTGGGGGAGGGGGAGGGCTGGCGTGAGCGGAGAGCGGGGAGGGCAGGCCTGTGGTCGAGGGGCGTTCTTGAGGGCCGGGAGAGGCGGGAGAGGTAGATAACGGGGGGGCATCGCGTGCTGCGGTGGCTGGCGGCCCCGGGGCTGCTTCTGCGTCCGCCGTTGCTGCTGCAGCTGGGGGGTCGAGCCGGGGGATGTCGATGAGGGGTGCATGGCCGAGGTCGGCGAGCAAGAGCGCTGACGCGGACGCAAGGGACGTCGAAGGGCCTGCGGTCGAGACGGGAGGTGCGGGACCGCTGTCCTGACTACGGCGGGGGGCTTGCAAGGTGCTGCTTGAGGATTCGTCCCGCATGAGAGCTGGGTGCGCGAGGGGTGCGCGGGGAGCGCTGGGACGCGAATGCGGATGGGCGACTTTGCGCCTCTTAGGAGGGGGCCACAGAGTCGGCTTGGGTCTCTTTGGTCCGGAGGGCGCAGGATAGGGCGGAGGCGGATGAACGGTGGATGGGCTGCTGTATGCCGTTGAGGACGGCGGGCGCTCCGTCTTGAAGCCAGGCTTGTTGCCAGAATCAACGGAAGGAAGGGAGAGGAAAGGGTCCTGGGTCCGCACGGACGTGTCTTGACCGGCAGATATGGAGTCGGGTGCACCACCGGAGGTAGAGGACCATCGCGACATGTCCTCCTGTGCCCACGGCGCGCCCGGTGGCCCACTGGCATTCTGCGGAGGGCCGCCTGCTCTGCCACGGTGTGCGGCCCACGAGTTTCGAGGTGGAGGAAGGGAGGATGTGACCACGGGCGGGGCTGGGACATTGCGCTTGCGGAGGAGCTCATTTGGTTGAGCGTCCTCTTGAGGTGTTGGTTGGCCGGATGACGGGCGGTGAGGCCGGTGAGGTTTGGCGGAAGGTCTCCCGCGGCGAACTTGCTCCGAGTCGGAGGAGGCTAGTAGGCGCAAGTTGAAGGACATGCCTCGCAGGTGATCTCGGTGTCTGACTCGGTCGCCGGCTGAGGAGGGCGGGCGTAGGCCGGTAGCTCAGCTCAACTCCCATCGCGAGCCAGCAAACAAGCGTACATACTCAGTCCTCTCGAGCAAGTTTACCTTGAGCTCGAGCTCGGCTCGATATCAGTCGTGACGTCACGCCTCTCCTGGGACGTGACCAGCTGTCACCCTGTTGATCCCGCCGCGCCGCCACCAACGTCGACGCGTCTATTCCGAATGTGCACGCCGTATCCTAGTAGCTCGTCCTATAGATGCGCATCTTGTCTTGGAATATCGTACGCACACACACACATGTACTCCTTCTACTACGCTATACTCATCACATCATAGAATGGCATCAGGACGCTGCCCAAATACCATCCGTAAGTACCGTCCCAGCCAGCATGACGTCGCTCAACGTCGTACTCTGTCAGGTGGAACACCTTCAAGACATGCGAGGGTATTCTTGACGAGATCAATGCCGACATCATATGCTTCCAAGGTAGTCTCTCGCAATCCCCTTTTGCTTCCCCTAACGTATCCAACAGAGATGAAGTCCTCGCGGGCCAATCTGCCCCGAGACGTTGCCCTCCCAGGTCCATACCATTCCTTCTTTTCCTTCCCAACAAGCAAGGGCGGCTACAGCGGCGTCGCCGTCTACGTCGACTCCCGCAAGCTCACCCCCCTCAAGGCGGAAGAAGGCCTCTCGGGCAAGCTCCAGCCCAACCCCCCTCTCTCCGCCGACGAGCGCATCTCTCCGTCCTACCCCTCCCCGCACGACGTCGACCTCTACGCAGACGAAGAGGGCGCCGTGCCCGCCTCATTCGACGCGCTCGACAGCGAGGGCCGCGCGCTCGTGCTCGACTTCGGGCTCTTCGTGCTCGTCAACGTCTACTGCCCCGCCGAGACCTCCGACGAGCGCCTCCCGTTCAAGATGAACTTTCACCTGCTGCTGCAGGAGCGCGTCCGGCGGCTCGTCGAGGACGAGCGACGCGAGGTCGTCGTCCTCGGGGACATCAACGTGTGCGCCGCGCCCATCGACCACTGCGACGGCCACCTGCCGAGCACCGTCGCCGCGTTCTACGACCACCCTGCGCGCGCGTGGTTCCGCAGGTGGATTGGGCCCGACGGCCCGCTGACGGACGTCATACGGCAGTGCCACCCCGACCGCAAGGGGCTCTTCACGTGTAGGTGGCCCGATTCGGTTCTGCGCCTGCTGCCGCCTGCTCATGAACGACTTGCGCCCTGCGCGCTGCCCAGGCTGGGACACGCGCACACAGGCGCGGGAGACGAACTACGGCGCGCGCATCGACTACGTGCTCGTCACCCGGGGCCTCCTCCCGTGGATCGCCGCCGGGGACATCCAGCCCGCGCTCAGGGGCTCCGACCACTGCCCCGTGTACGTCGACCTGCGCGACGAGATCACGCTCGCGTCGGGGGAGACGATCGCGCTGCGCGACGCGATGAAGCAGACGCCGGGCCTGCGGGACCCGCCGCGGACGGCGGCGAGGTATTGGGACGAGTTCGCGGGCAGGCAGATGGTGCTCTCCGCCTTCTTTGGTAAAGGCGCCGCGGCGAAGACGAAGACGAAGACAGAAACGGACGGGGACACTGCGCGCTCTGCGTCCCCGGCCCCGACTCCTGCTGCCCAGGGTTCCAGCACGTCCGCGGCGGCCGCTACCTCAACCGCAACCTCAACCCCTACCCCAAGCGCGGCCTCCCTCGACGCCGAGCCCGATCATACGCCCCTGGCCGATCCGCCCGCGAAGAAACTGAAGCCGGCACAAGCTCGCCCGCCTTCGCAGCCGACGACGACCACGCACAAACGCAAGGCGTCCGACAACCCGCCCGCGTCCAAGAAGCGCAAGGCAGCCCCCGCCAAGCGCCAGCCGAGCATCGCGGCCTTCTTCTCGAAGTCCTCCCCGTCCCCGTCCACACCGGCTGCCGCGTCGACTCGACGGCCGCCAGAGGTCATAGACGTCGACGGCGAGGACGAGGACGAGGACGAGGACGAGGACGAGGACGAGGACGATGCTGGCTCCTCCACACTACCCCCCTCCGGTCCACCCGTGCCCAGCTCGTCCCAACCCCCCGCCGACGCGGACCGGGACCAGATCGACGCCGACCACCGCCTGGCCCTCGCGCTCGCCGCGGCCGAAGCCGAAACCCCGCCCGACGACCCCCGCCCCCCGTGCCAGCCGTCGCCCGCGTCCTCCCAGCCCCCCTCGCGCAACGACAACGACAACAGCAGCAGCAACACCGAGAAAGACAAAGCCGCCGCGTGGTCCTCGCTCTTCGCGCCCGTCCGGCCCCCCCGCTGCACGGTGCACGACGAGCCCGCGCGGCTGTACACGGTGAACAAGCCCGGCCCGAATAGGGGCAAGACGTTCTACCTGTGCGCGCGCCCCGTCGGGCCCGGGTACGACAAGGGCCGGGGCGAGCGGCTGCGGGAGGAGGTCGACCACCGGTACCGGTGCAACTACTTCAAGTGGGCGAGCGAGGCGCGGAGGGAGGCGATCAGGGAGCGGGAGGCGCAGGCGAGGGCGCAGGGGTCTTAGCGCATGGAAGACGGGGTTGTGCGTGACCTCCGATGATGCATAGTTTCTAGGATCTTGGAGTTTTCGAGTTTCGCTTTGCTTTGCTTTCGTGCACGCTGTAATCGTACTGTAGCTCGCCTGCCCGCCTCGTGCGGGCGGGTATAATCTGCTTGTATACAACTAGAACTCGGACGGAAAGGTACAGGAAACAAAGGCAGTCCGATAGGTGTGAACGGTAGGAAAGCAAGATGCGCGGAGACGATGAGAGACACGAGGGAAGATAGAACCGATGCTCAGACCGAATAAAGTTATGCTGCGTGCTTCGCGGACTGCTTCTTTGCCGTGCCGATGGAGGTGTTGTTGACCTGCCAGAAGTCATGTTTAGCATGGAACAAGAAAATGCAACCGAGAGATGCACAAACCTTGGTCGCGAAGCGCAGTGAGCACAGAGATTCGTTGAGGTGCGTCGCGAGCGGCGAGAGGTTGAGGAACATGAGCGTCTTCGAGTTCCCGCTGAGCGAGTTTTGCAGCAGGTACGTGAGCTACCAGAACCGCCGTCAGCCGCCCCGCCCCTAACATACCCGTCCCCCACGCGCAGAACAAAAACCCCGCGCGCATACGCACCTTCGAGTTCCGGTACGGGATGTGCTTGTCGCCCCTGCCCTCGCCCTTCTCGCCGAGCGCGGCGATGACGTCCCCGAGCGCGCTCAGGCTCTTGTTGATGCTCTGCGTCTCGCGCAGGCGCTCCCTGTCGCCGCCCGCGCCGCTCTTCTCGAGCCGCTCGCTGCCCGCGAGGTCGACGAGGTTCAGGCTGCCCTCGCAGCTCTCGCCCGTGAGCGCGTTCTCGCCGCGGATGCGGAGCGTGAACACCGAGTGCGAGCGCGACGAGCGCTCGTTCATGAGCGTCGCCGCGACCGTGCGCCGGCCCTGCGCGAGCGCGAGGAGCGTGCGCACCTGCGTGGGCGAGGAGAGCGGGACGACGTTCGCGTCGGTGACGGTCGTGCGGCCCGTCTTCGGGTCGTGCTTGATGTCGTGCTTCTTCTTGTCGAACTCGCCCTTGCCGAGGAGGTCGTTGATCGTCTCGTTGTACTGCGTGCGCTCGAGTCAGGTGGGCGCTGCGGGAAGGAGGAGAGAGTGCGTACGATCTCGAGGAACTGGCCTTCCATCTTGTACTGCCAGCCCTTGCTCTTGAGCTCGTCCGCGACGCGGAAGACCTGCTCGACTGCGCGGGGGATCATCCCCGCGGTCGTGTCCGTCTGCGTACACGTCAGCGGTCGCGCATATACGCGCGTGGGTCCTAGGAGGGGGACAAGGACGTACCGGACCGCCCTCCATGGTGAACGACTTGCCGGACCCAGTCTGGCCGTACGCGAACACGCAGACGTTGTAGCCGTCGGTACAGCTCTGCGCAAGCTGCGAGATCTCCTCGAAGACCTCGGCCTGCGTCGCGTGCGGCTCGAAGACCTGCCAAGCCGCGTCAGCACACGCACAGACACGCAGGGATCGCACGGCGCCGCACCCTATCGAAGCTGAACTGCCACTCCTCTTTGCGCTCCTGCCCGGTAGCGCTCTCGCTCGACGCGCTCACCACGATCTCCTTGTGGTCGAGCCTGTCCGGGTATGCGAGCTGCGCCATCGCCTCCTCGCGCAGCCTCGCCTCCCGCTCCGGGTCCGGGCTCGCATTCCCGTCCGCAATCTCCCCGACGGACGACATACTCGATATCAGCGCCCCGCCGCCCACCAGCGGGAGGATGTCCGACCTCAGGATCGGCCTCACGCGACAGAACACGCGGATGTTCCCCTTGAGCTCCTGCACCATATTGTGCAGCTTCCGCCGTACGCTCTCGCCCTCGCGCGCCTCGCGCTCGAGCTCCTCGCACCGCTTGAGCGCGCGCTCGAGCTGCAGCGCGAGGTCCGCCCTGCTCCCCACCGTACGCTCGTACTCGGCCTGCACCGCGCTCTTCTCAGCCTGCATCGCGCCGATCTGCGCCGTGAGGCTGAGCTGCGCGGTCGCCTGCTGCGCGACGGTCGCCTTGAGCGCCCGGACCGTCTCGCGCTCGCGGTCGAGGTCGCCCTGGCACACGCGCAGGTCCTCGGCGGCCTCGCGCAGCTCGCGGTCCTTGCGGCGGAGGTCCGCCTGAAGGTCAGCGATCTCGCGCTCGTGGCGCTGGCGGAGGGCGGAGAGCTCGTCCGAGGCGAGGAAGAGCTCCTTGCGCTGGGCGAGCTCCTGCGACTTGGCGGCGGTGAGCTCGCGCGAGAGGGCCTCGTGCGAGGCCTGGAGGTCGGAGCGCTTGGCGCGCTCCTGGGCGAGCTCGGCGTCGAGGCGGGCGGCGTCGGCTGCGCGCGCGGCTTCGATGTTGGAGATTTGGGACTGGAGGGACTGGAAGCGGTCGTCGGTGGAGGCGGTCGAGGTGGTGTTCGTGCGTGATCTGGAGGGAAGGGGACAGTTGTGAGCTCTTGATGACGTGAGGTATGGGCCGTTGCGGGACGGTATCGCGTGCGCTGGTCGCTGTCTACCGAGCCACTCGTCGTGCACGATGCCCACCTACATGCACATGTCTTGGTAACACAACGAGGCCAAGCATATGCACGCGCCTCGATCTTCCATCCCCCACCACCTAACCACCGCACACGCAGAGACAATGAACACTCACGTAGTTCTTGAGGCAGGCCTTGCAGGAGGCCTTATGGGCGCGGTCTTGGGTGGTGCGCTCGTCGCCCGCGTCGTCCGTCTTGCGGCGGCAGTAGTCGAGGTCGATAACGCCGGTGCCCTAGGCTTCGTGAGCGGCGGGGGCCCCTTGCCCAGCCGATTCATCGTGTTTCCATTCGGGAGGGCCTTGACGGGGCGTAGCGGCTGGCTGGCGTCGCCTTCTGCTATGGCGGCGAGCTTGCGGGGTTGGTGGTCGACGCCGATGTTCTCTTGTGCCTTGCGCTTGAGGGTGTTGGTCGTTGAGGAGGGGCCCGGTCTGGAGGCCATGGTGGGTGCAGACGTTGAGGTCTATGCACGCTATACTCGGGCAGGACGGAAAACGATGGTATTGGGCGCGCGCTACGGAAGCTGCGCGGGACCACCGAGTCCGTGTCGCCACCGCTCTCTCGCGCGACCGGTGGGCCGAGCTCAAGCCGGCGGAAGGCGAATGTACCTGATACATGAGACGTAGCTAAGCGAGACCAAAAATGGGGCAGCGGAAGGGTGGGTGCAAAAACGAAAGCTCGAGGAGCGCGAGCTCCCGAAGGGCGAGGGGACGAGGATCCTGGGCTGCGAGCCCTTAACCTATATACTACTAGAGACAAAGCAGATGTAAAGCGGCGAGGGGGT